ACAGAAAGAAGAAAGACTTGTGATGCGCCACGGAGCCTTTAGTCTAAGATAGTTAGAGGAAAACCTAATCATAAAAATTCAACTTCAATGCAACACAAATGATTGTAACTTAATAGAGGAGATTTTAAAATACAGAGAAAAAAATCTTTATTTCTTTATTTTTACTGAAGTAAAAACAAATTCCCTAACTCACCTGTACTTAAGGGTAGTGAAATGTTAAACTCACTGAAGTTGGTAAATATGCTATAGTTGTGTAAGAAGCATCCCCTTCTAGACTATAAGTACACTGAAGAATTGAGGGAGTAAAGGGCCATGGTGTAGATAACTTGCCCTTAAGCGGTTAAAAAAAAAAATTGTGTGTGTTTCTGTGTGTGTGTGTGTGTGTGTGTGTGTGTGTATGTGCGTGCGTGTATGCACACATGTAAAAACAAAGAGAATACAATGACAAAACGAGGGGATAAAAATGCCAACATAAATCAATCTTGATAAAGAAACACATAGGGGTTTTTTAATATTTTATTTTTGAAACCTTTCTAAATATATAAAATTATATCCAAATAAAAGGGTATTCCTTTTTAATGTACAAAGAAGGAGATAAATGAAAAAAAAATAGCAAAATGTTGATCATTCYGTAAGACAGGTTGTGGGTAAATGAGAGTTCATTCTATCATTCTCTCTACTTCTGTACATCTTTATTTTATATACTAAAACATGAAAAAAAGAAAACAGTAGATAAAATCATGTAGGTAAGGTAGCTACTATAGTGCCTAGCAAACACAAGGTATTCAATAAATGATAGACACTTTTATTACAACTGAGTCACATCTCTCAAGTGTAGACAAGTATTGGCTTTTAGTGTATAATTACATTTTAGTATTAACTGACAATCCATAGATGTAAGGTGCTTTGCTGGACACTGTAGTGCCAAGAAGTAGCTCAGAACTCAGGTGGTCATGATACTGTAAAAAAAAAAAAATAGAATAGCCTATTTCATATAGATGAGGTTGCTACGAGAATAAAGCAAGCATTTAAAGAGTTCTCTTATATACGCAGAAGAGTTATATAAATGTTAGCTCTCATTTTATTGTACAGAGAGACAATATAGGGAGAATAAGGCATATATGTATGTAAATATAATCAAATTCAAGTGACAGGTTCCACAGAAAACAATCACACCTAGCTAGGAATGCAAAGGAAGTCTTCATGGAGAAGGTGGTACTCAAGATGGACTTTAAGAGATGGATGAGCAGAAAACTCAAGTCAGTGAGAGGAGGAACTAGGATGCAAGACTACTGAAATAATTCAAATAAAGGCATTCAAAGAGAATGTCAGGAAGCAAGAAGTAACAAAATGTTAGTGTCTAGGAAAAAACAGCAGTTCGACCACAAATACATCTGTAAAAGTGAATGAGAAGAAACTACAAAAGGTCCTGCCTGACTTGGGAGGCTCCAGGTATGTGGCTCGCTACTCATCCGGACCCTAGTTCTATCACCAGGTTTCTCCTCTTCCCATGGCTGGTGCCAATAAAACTTCACTATCCAAGACTGTTTTTTGAAATACGACACTGTTTCAAAAGGGACAATTTAAGCAAAGCATACAATGCAGAAATTGCTACGAAAGGAAATGCTTTCTATGCCCAGGGAAAATTCAATCACAACAAAAATGAATATAATCCAAATAAATTTGAAATTTACATTTAGCTTTTAAATATAATTTTGTTCTGTGAGAAACTTCCAAATCATATATTTCACAAGCTGTTTTAGTCAGCTTTTTAATCACTATAACCAAAAGACCTGACAAGAACAATTTTAAAGGAAGAAAAGTTTATTTGGGAATCATAGTTTCAGAGGTCGCAGTCCATAGATGGCCGGCTCCATTGCTCTGGCCCAAGGTAAGGCAAAACGTACTGGCCGAAAGATGTGAAGGAGGGAAGCAGCTCAGGACAGACAATCAGAAATACAGAGAGCTCTGGTCACCAAGAACAAAATATAAATTCCAAAGGCACGCCCCCTCAATGACCCACCTCCTCCAGTCATACCCTACCTGCCTGCAGTTACTACCCAGTTAACCTATTAGTGGGTTAACCCACTGACTAGTTTTCAGCTCTAATAATCTAATAATTTCCCCTCTGAACATTCTTACATTGTCTTACATATGAGCTTGGGAGACACTTCATATCCAAACCATAACACAAGCTAATATTAATGTAAGAAATTCCTTAATTACCAACTAAAAATCATCAAAAGTGAGCACATGACAAATGTTAAATTTTGTCAGTGTAACTGATATTTCTAAAATGTAGTTGAATTCAAAATTACATGACTGTGATAGTTCTTAAATTTTATTTTGCTGACAGTACATAGCTGCATTTTTTAGTAGTATGTCCTTTGTTGTTTTTTATAACGTTTTGACTCACATACTGTAAAATAATGAATCCATAATTATTCCATCCTGATTTATGCTTCTACATGAATAGTTTTATGAAGATTTAGGAAGAGAACCAGGCAAAATGTCTTTGTGACTATAGTATGCTATAAAACATAAATCTATTTTAATTCCTTACTAAATTTTAAAACAGTGAAAAAAATACCAGAGAATCTTTAAAAGTTATTTTAGAAATAACCTCAGAGATCATTATCCCAATCAATCTTCTCACTCAATAGGCAAGGAAATAGTTAGGAAAATTAGAATTATATGCTAATAATATGATAACCTCCGTATGATATGCTGCTAACTGATTAAAAACAAATCCAAAATTTTAAATTCATATTTTTTGGCACCCAAAATACTAATGACACCACATACAATACTGGGCATCTATCTAATACAACACATAACCTAATACAAAAAAATCAAAAACTACACACATTTGTTTACTTTAAAAAAGAAACTGTCTATGTATTATCACTGTCTTAAAGAAAGCAGATAATAAACTTATAACATTCCCCCTAAAGCCTAAATATTAAAAATGGTCACTTTTAAATACCAGTTTACTGACTCTGTTAGCATTCTGTTGCTGTGACAAAATGTCTAAGATAAACAACTAAAAAGAAGGAAAGGTTTATCTTGTCTGGTGGTTTGGGAAGTTTCAGTYCATGGGTAGCCCAGTTAGTTTTAGGCCTGTGATGATGAAGTACATCACGGTGGTTGGAGGATGATGTAAAGGAGGGTGCTCACCTCATGGCAGACAGAAAACAGAAAGAACAAGGGGTCAGGGACAAAACACATGCTTCAGGAACATGCCTCCAGTAACCTATTTCCTCTAAGTAGGCCATTCCTTCCAAAGTCTTTACCACCTCCCAACAGCACCAGCTAGGAACTGAACTCATGTGCTGACATGAGTCTTTGGRGGATATTTCCGATCTAAAACATAATAATGATTTAAAAAAAAAAAAGAATTGAAAATACTAACAGATCAATTAAGTCTTCCAATGGGACACAAAAAGCCATTCTTGTGTTGCCTCTGCCTTTCAGCTTATGGATGAGCTGTACATAGCTTCCTTGTCTAAAATAATACAGATAGGCATTGGGTAATGCAGGTACAGCATTCTAAGCAGGCTGCTCAACACCAAAGACAAGGGCATCAGTGATCACAATGTATTTAAGTTCACAATATTAAGAGAAATCAAAGGAGGACAAATCTAGAAAGTCTAGTCTACTGATCAATTTCTTAAATCAACAAAACAAACCCAGAAGGGTTTTGTTTTGTTGTTTGTTTGTTTGTTTTTAACCACTAAGATACATCCCCAGCCCTTTTTAATTTTAAGATAAGGTCTCAATAAGTTGCTTAGGGTCTCTCTAAGTTGCTGAGGCTAGCTTCAAACTTGCAATCCTCCTGCCTCAGCCTCCCGAGCCACAGGGATTACAGGTATGTACCACTGCACCCGCCAAATTTACCATTTCTTAACAAAAAGTTACCAACATTCATTATCTAATAAGTTATTGCACAGTACTGCCTTTTCCTATTACACTGATGTCCTGGCCTGAGTATGGAGAACATGCCATGACCACAACTCCACTGTAGAAACCAGCTTCATCTGGACCCTGCATTCTAATTAAAGAGAGTATACTGCACACTGTGCAGACCTGACAACTGCTAAAGTATCACTCTATTTTTTATTTATCCTTCAGAATAAAGCAAAAGTTCAGTGTTGTGACCTCATATGACCTGGGACCCCAAGGTAACAAAGGGGAGGACCAGAGGTACTTGGTGCTTCTCATGTCCTCAGGTCTGAACCCTGTTAAGCAGAAATGAGAACTTCCTATGTGGTAGGGAAAAAAGGGCTTTCTTCAGCTACGACACTTTTTCCCAAGCAGAAAAAACTCAAATTTGTAATCACCACTTTATTACAAATTCTTCAAATGTGCTAATTTGTCACTGAATAAAATGGAGCACTAAATATAACAGAAAAACTAAACTCAATTGGCCATATAAAAACCCAAGCAACAAAGGTCTTTAAAAAAAATATGTGTGTGTGTGTGTGTGTGTATGTATGTATGTATGTATATGTATGTATATATATTTTAGTTGTAGTTGGACACAATGCCTTTATTTTATTTATTGTTATGTCGTGCTGAGGATTGAACCCGGCACCTCGCACATGCTAGGCAAGTGCTCTACCACTGAGCTAGAATCCCAGCCCCCCAAGGTCTTTTATAACAAAAGCAGTAAGAAGTTTAAATTTTATTTTTAAACTTATTTTAAAAGTTTATTTTTACTGTATAGCCAGAACTCATAAAATATAGATATGTATGCCTAAACATTGTTCTTGAAGAATGGTGCTTTATAGATAAATAATACATTCATTATCTGCATGTATTTAATATAAATCACTGCACAGAATGGAAAGAGTAATATTTTAGTTACTTTCATTATTTCACACTTATCCCACTACACAAATCCAACATAACTGTTGAAGATGGCAGTCAAAAGAACAGAATTTGTTATGCCTGATTAAATGTATACACAAAAAGAATTGAGAAAATCTTATAGGACTTACTTGCTACTCCTGATGCCAGTCCATAAAGCAGTCCTCCTCCATCTGACTGCTGGGGGTAAATATGGGCTCCTGGAGGAGGAGGCTTTTCTTGTCTTATGAAGTTATATAATAAAGTTTTCACAAGTTTGCTGGTGTATGGAAGACTACACAAAAAAGAAAAAAACCAAACATGTTTATGGGAGTCACCTAATTCTATAAAAGTGACACAGAAGTAACTCTGACATTAATATTGCTTGAAAGAAATATTCACTGTCACATGTCAAGACTCTAAGGGCTGAGATCATTGTTGAGGCTTACTTCTGACTTTGCCTCCTGCCACACCAGAAGACACTGGTCACATCTTTAAAATAACTGAGAGTCAGTTACATTAGCTGTAATCAATATAACATTTGTGAGACATTAATTTAGTGCATAATATAGTATTGGTACTTAAAGAAAGGTGGTAACATGAAATCATCACGGAAGAGTAAGGATTTAAAGATAGTAATAAAAGACTGCACTTGTTAAGCATGAAAGTATTCGATATATCCAATTATTTAGTTGGTAATACACCAATTCCTGCAATCTATATTGAATTTATTAACAGATCCTTGAATGTACTATTGAATTTTTAAAAATATTGCTTCCAAAATTAACAACAAAAATCAGTAAAAGAACATATTATAGTTTAAGTACCTGACACCATACTAGTACAAAAACCCTACTATCTATTCATTCAACCAATTGCAGATTAAAAATTTCAGAAAAAATATGCATCTGTATTACACATGTACAGAGATTTTTTCTTGTCATTATTTCCTCAATGATAAAATGTAAATCATTTGGATATGATTCAAAGTATAAAGGAAGATTGTATAGGCTGTATGTATTTTATCTAAGGAACTTGAGCATATAGGATTTGGGTATCCTTGGTGGGGGCTGTGGGAGGGGGGTTCTGAAACCAAATCTCTGTGAATAACAAGGGACAACTTTAGTTTCAAACAGATGAGTGAGAAGAAGATACAAAAACAATTTGAACAAACAAATATGACTTGATGACTGCTTAGACATAGAAAATGAAGAAGGAGGAAAAAAAAAAGAAAGACACTTTGAAGGTTTCTATTCTACAAAGCAACTGCTAGAGATGGCAATGAATTTAGGGGACAAGAAAAACAGGGAAGATGGGCAGTTTGAATACAAAATTGAATTTAGACCCTAAAGGATGTAAAGCTGTAATAAAAAAAAAAAATCAGATGCAATATATTGGAGATACAGGACCACACTTAGGTAAAAGGACAAGAATACAAATATAAATTATGCAGTTTAAGAAGGGACAAATTTAAATAGAAACATACCATGGACCTTGCATCAAATACTTGTGACTAATGCTCTGTCGCAAAATTTCTTTGTGGAAGAGTTGGCAGGAAAGGAAAACAACCATTGTTGATATAGCTTCCACTGATATTTCATATGTAATATCTCTGGAGAAATAGGGAAAAACAGTAATGATCATTTTAAAGTAAGATATACATTAAAAACTCAAATCAACATTTTCTTAATATTAAAGAACTTACATATTTAACAAAAAAATTAAGTCAAACAAAAATATTAAACTCTTTCTCAGGCATTAGTTATTTTATTCTRGCATTTCATTATTTTCCTAATTTCCAGTTCCACCTCATACTGAAGGACATGCCTGTCATGAACACAATAACCAGCAGTGTTCTACTTTGAGGATCCTCTCTAAACCCCTACATTTATCCCTGTATAGTATTGGCACAGAAACAAATATTCAGATTATAAAGTGGAAGAGAAATTACAATGCAGGGAACAAAACAATGTATTTAGGAGTTCATAATTTCTTTACACTCATAACCATGGTAAAAGATCTTTCATCTCTAGTGTATGCTTTCTCAAGGTCAAATTTGCATATCTGGCAAAATATTAGTGGTATACACATCATTTCCTTTTTATTAAGCATATTTCTTTTAGGAAGGACTACTCTGTCTGTCCTCTCAAGATCATTAACCACTTTTAGAAACAAATCTTAGGTCACTTAAAGGCAAAAGTTTCAGCTGAGTAAGGAGATCAAACAAGAAAAATGTATCAAGATATCTTGAGGGCTGGGGTTGTGGTTCGGAGGTAGAGCGCTTGCCTAGCATGCGTGAGGCACTGGGCTTGATTCTCAGCACCACATAAAATAAAATAAAAATATTGTATCCACCTATAATTAAAAAATAAATATTAAAAAAAAGAAATCTTGAGTTATAGTAAAAAATGGGATTATTTCAGGGACCAGGAAAGCAGAAATCTCAACAGCATAGCAAAAAGAGTAGCAGCTCCAAAAGAATGCCAAAATACTTTTATAAATCTGAAATATGCATGCAAAGTCAAAAAAAGAGAGTACTTAACACATCTACTTAAATGAAACCTCATTATATAATTTAGGGAAAACTTGACTCTAGAGTTAGACAAGCTTAAACTCTACCAGATATTTTAAAACGTTAACAATAATAGAAATATGTTTCAAAAACAAAGTGGGCAGGTCTGGGGTACAGGGCAAAAAAAAAAGTATACAAAACACTCAACTGATCCTATTTTGTAATGAATAAATCTCAATTCTACTCAGAAATTTTATTTTTAAAGTACTTTAATTCTCTTTCCTAAAATTTCCAGAACTACTGCAATAAAAAATTAACCATATAAAAAGCAATTCTTATACTTAATCTGATTTCCAAAACTGAATGAAAGATAAACCTGATGTTTTATGCTTATGATATGATTCACTAATGATGATTTGGATGCTCAGATAAGATTTTACATTAGGTAATCATTCATTTGTATTGTCCAGGCTTGTCTAGAATCCATACTCTATGTCAACTGACTAGGCTTTTCAGTTGAGTCAAAGTTTAAAGCCAAATCCTGAATTAACAAATACCCTTCTAGTAAGACAGAGCCTATCTAGGGGAGGGGGTTACAGATAACAAACTACAACACATCTGCAAAGGTATTCAATAACTAAATCAAAAATAAAGTATCAACTATAGTGCTTTACAACTCCACATCTTGTGGAAACAACAAAGACTCAGAAATACATGGTTTTATTTTGTTTAAACTATAAACTATAACTATTAATAAATACTAGGCCTAAAATCCCTGAGGAAAAAAAGCATGTATTTAGAAATAAACAAAATCACAAGTGAAAAAATAGGAAAAGTGTTAACCCTTGGTCATCCTCTCTGATCAAGGAATTCTGAAAATTTAAGAGTGAAGAGTAAAGGGTTTGATGTTGGCAGGTAGTAAGTTCATAGTACATAGAATATTGACCACACCAGACTTAAGGTGCATTCCCCAAGACTTCTAATTGGAACCATGGCCCTTACCTGTATTATTTCATATGCCCAAACATATAAATTCTATCAAATTGTTTATCACACCACCCTTTACCTCACATATCATTTAATAAATATTTATGAAGAATTTACTCTTACTATACTTAGTGTTATGGTTTGGATAGGAGGTGTCCCTCAAAAGCTTATGTGTGAGACAAAGCAGGAATGTTCAGGGGTGAAATGGTTGAACTATGAAAGTTGTAACCTACTCTGTGGATTAATCCACTGATCTAGATTAACTGGGTGGTACCTAGGCAGGTGGGGTGTGGCTGAAGGAGGGAGGTCACTAGAGGTGTGCCTAGGAGTTTACAGTTGGTCTTTGGTGAGTGGAATCCCTCTCTGCTTCCTGTTTGCCATGTCCTGAGCTGCTCTCCTCTGTCGTGCACTTCTGCCATGGTGTTCTGCCCCATCCTGGGCCCAGAGCTGTGGAGTCAGCTGACCATGAACCTCTGAATCCATGAGCCAAAATAAACTTCTCCTCCTTCACATCGTTCTTGTTAGGTCTTTTGGTCATAGTGGCACAAAGTTAACAAAAACATCTAACTAGGCATTATATTACATATTGGAGACAAATCCATCAACAAACAGACAAGGCTTCTACCTTTATGGAGTTTGCAATTTAGTGGAGAAGACAGAAATCAAATACTTAGTCCAAAAAGGGACACTTATGGAGGGGGGGGAGGGGGGAAGAGAGGGAGGGAGGGAGGGAGGGAGGGAGGAGGAGGGAGAGGGAGAGGGAGAGGGAGAGGGAGAGGGAGGGAGGATTATAGGGAAATTATTTTTAATTTTGAAATTAGAAGAAAGTTTCTCTAAAAAAAGTGACATTAAATTAAACCTGAACTACAAGGGGGCAGTTCTTTGCATTGAAGTCTTTCTTACTAGAACACATGAGGTTCTAGCTTAAGACTCTTTCATTTTTGGTATCGTTTATATTCTTAATTCTAGTACCTAATAGGCATTCAACAGATAAAGAGAGAGAAGGCTCTTTATTGCTCTGATTTTGACTAAAACTTACTTGATAGTTTCCTAAACAGATTCATCAGCATAATGTAACAGTCATGCGTAACTTAGAAAAATAAACAGGAATTAGTATGTGAGGTATTGTAATACATATGATAAGCACAAAAGAATACTTATGTGACAAAAACGTATAGGGAATTTCTCAAAAGAAGAATGCAGGATGTTGCTGACTGGATTAGAACTTTGAACCATGAACTCTGCCTGACCAACATCCTCCACCTCCCCTTCTTTGGCAAAAATAGCCCTCTTTGCCTTTCAGGCCCCTCCTCACACCATTCAAGGTGCAGATGCTTGACCCTACCTCCTGGTTACAAGARGTGATCAAAGACTGGCCAATAAAAATGTTCTTATTAAAATGTTTCCCAGGACTTTTGGAATTATCAGGGAAAAGGCACTCTCTCCTCCTGACTTTGCAAGTATAAAAACCATCATATCTAGAGCTTCTGGTGGCTTTTTTTGCCAATGCAGAAGAAGCTCCTGCCTGAGAAATGGTCCAGTTGAGGGTGTGAGCATAGCAGAGGCAAGAGATTGAAAGGAAAAGGGGAAAAAAGCAAGAGGAGAAAGTAAGGGATCCTACTGATTAGTTAACAGAAAAATCAGGCATAAAAAAAAACAATTATAATGATAACGAAATCCAGCAAATGTCCATGAAAGTGGTTTTTGTTTTGGTTTTGATTTTGGTTGGTTGGTTCTTTGGTGGTACTGGGGATTGAACCCAGGGGTGTTCTGACCTATACCCCAGGCCATTTTATTTTGAGATGGGGCTTCACTAAGTTGATGAGGCTGCCTTTAAACTTGTGATCCTCCTGCCTCAGCCTCCCAAGTAGCTGGGATTACAGGTGTGTACCACCATACGCAACAAATATGTCCTATCTTAGGAACACAAAGATAACGACAATCAGTATTGCAGGAGCAGAGCTTGTCTAGTACGTGTGAGGCACTGGATTTGATCCTCAGAACCACGTACAAAAATAAATAAATAAAATAAAGTTTAAAAAAAATAACTGGAGGATCTTCATGTAAGATCTGAAACTCTTAAACTACTAGAGGAAAACCTAGGGAAACATTTCAAGATATTGGCACAGGTAACAATTTTCTGGCTAGGACTACAAAAGCAAAGAAAACAAAAGTTAGAACTGACAAACATGACTATATCGAGTTGAAAAGCTTCACATAGCAAAGAGTGAAGAGACATCTCTACAGAAATGGGAGAAAAATCTTTGGCAGCTATTCATCTGACAGAGGATAATATCCAGACAGCACAAAGAACTCAAAAAAACTTAACAAGAAAACAAATAATCCAATCAAAAATGGGCAAATAATCTGAACAGATAATTCTCAAAGGAAATATAAGCCAGGCTCAGTGGTGCATGCCTGTAAACCCAGTGACTGAGATAGAAGGATTCCAAGTTCGAGGCCAGCCTCTGCAACTTAATGAAACCCTCAGCAACATAGGGAGGCCCTGTCTCAAAATAAAAACTAAAAAAAATGAAGTGGGGATGTAGATCATTTTTAAAGCACACCTGGGTAAATTCCCAGTACCAAAAAGAAAAGAGGGGTCAGGAAGAAAGAAAAGAAGGAAAGGGAGGAGGAAGAGGAGGAAGACAATGATGATGATGACAACCACAAWTGGCCAATAAATACATGAAAAATGCTCAATTTGTTTAGCCATCAGGGGAATGCAAATCAAAACTGCAATAAGAGTCTATCTTACCCTAGTCAGAATGGCCATCATAAAAAATACACAAATAACAAATGCTGGAACCCTTATATACTGTTGGCATGTAAGTGAATTATCCAGCCATTATGAAAAACAGTATGGAGGTTCCTCTAAAAACTAAAAATAGAACTACAATATGATTCAGCCATCCCACTCCTGAGTATCTATCCCAAGGTATGCTGCATACCTGCATATCCTGCAGTACTATTCACAATAGACAAGATATAAAATCAGCTTAGCTGCCTGACAATAGATGAATGGATATAGAATATATGGCATATATATCATTCAGCCATAAAGAACAAAATCCTGTTGATTGCATGACAATGGATAAAAACAGAGGGCATCC